GACATTTGCTTTTTGTCCCTTTTAATTTCTGACATACTGAATTTCCTTTTGACATAGTAAATCCTCGAGGTGATCCGAATATGCGACTAGAGAAGTATCTGATTAGCTGGGTAAGCGACTTATCGTTTCCTCTGTTTGAAGGTGTTATACCAGGAAGCTGATCGCAGTGGTCAACGTTGCTTCGATTGAAGTTGGAAGGGAAAGGCAAAGTAGTAGAGGGCATAAACGTTTGGGATGACCTTGTGAAGCTTCATGGAAGGAGTTACCAAGCGTGGTCTGGATACACTGATTACCTAATGTGGGTTCGAGTGTGATGCCGTAATTCGATTCAACGAATTCTCATCCAATTTTCTGATTCCACACCTGTTACAGACGGCACAACGAGTTCGCAAAAGCAAGGTCTCAGTTCAAGGTAGCGGTGAGCAGGAATCTGGATTGGCCGGAATCAATCTGGACGGCTTGGATCGCGTTCGAAGACTATCACGGAACACCAGAAAGCTTGAATGCTGCCAAGCTGCGGGTTGGTCCACTACAGGAAGCCTTGGCTGCGCAGAGGGCCCAGGTTAGTGATCTGATTCTTGTAGTGGTCTCATGTCTCTTGCTGATTTCAGATGATGTTACAGGCGCTAATGGCCAATCAGCACGCATCAGTCACTACGGGTATCGCTGTTGGCGCCGCTTCTCCTTCGATAAACGTTGATTCTACCGCAATAGTACCATCGGTTTCTGCGACAGAACAGGCCATGGAGGTTGATGCCACTGAAGACAGTCGTAAACGCAAAGCGGACGAGGTGGCTCCCGCGGAAGACGGCAGTATCACGAAAAGGCAAAGGGTGGAAACGGATAAAGTTGCTGCCCCTGCCCGGGACCGCGAATATGCCACGGTTCTCGTTTCCGGCTTGAGCTCTGGGGTTACTGAAGCCGACATCCGCAAATTCTTTCGAGAATGTGGTCAAGTCCGAGATGTCACACTTAGTCAGCAAAACGAGAATATGCTTGCGGCGGTAGAGTTTATGAATCGCGATTCGGTGCCAGCGGCTTTGACGAGAGATAAGAAACGGATTGGCGAAGACGAGGTTCACGTTTATCAAGCCGGCCACACTACCTTGTTTGTTACGAATTTCCCGGAAAAGATGGACGATGCCAGTCTGCGGGAAATGTTTGCGCCATATGGGGATATCGTGGAGACTCGATGGCCCAGCAAGAAGTTCAAGGATAGCCGTCGTTTCTGCTATGTCCAATTCACCACTACCGGTGCTGCAGCCGCAGCTTCCGAGGAACTGAACGGCAAAGAGCTCGAGTCGGGCTTCCCTGTCTCTGTGCTCATCTCTGATCCAGATCGAAAGAAGCAACGGTCGGACGCGAATGCTGATGCAAGAGAATTGTATGTCAGTCAGTTGTCCAAATTCATGAATGAGCAGGACATGGATCGAGTTTTCAGCCCCGTAAGTTCGAGTTTTAAATGCAAAGAGAATTTTAAAGCTGACTCAGCTTGCCTTCCAGTTCGGCTCAATCAAGAGAATTAGTCTCGCCAAAGATGAAGAAGGGAAATGCAAGGGTTTTGGCTTTGTCGAATTCGAGACCGAAGTAGGCATTTCAAAACTCCCTATACAAACAGTTCGACTTAAGCTGCGTCTGTATCTTACTTCAGGAACAAGCACGCGCAGCGCTTTCACTGGATGGACACGAATACAAGAAGCGAACTATGAATGTGCGGTTGTCAGAGCAAAAGTCTAGACGCGACCGACGGTGAGCCGTGATCTAGCTAAGTTTTTATTGAGAACAACACTGATTCCCTATTGTCATGAGCAGTGCTGGCGAGCCATCCAGTAAAGCCGTAGCGGCTGCAGTCAATCGTTCAAGTGATATACTGGATCGCAGTATCAGACTATACGGCCTCCCACCAAAAACGCAAGAGGGTCTTTTGCAACAAGCTTTAGAGAAAATCGTTCCTGTGAAAAAAGTGGAAGTCTTCCAGGATGTCGGTCAGGCTTCTGTAGAACTCGCCAATGCTGCCGTGAGTGTTTATTATTGGTGTCGTAGACGTTCGCTGATATCTCTCCCTCAATTCATTCGCATAGGACGTTGGCGCTTTGCTCTTGAAAAACGAACCCTTTGTGTTTGCGGATTCGACAATCACTTTTGCTCAAGAAACAGACATCACGAGGAATTCTACGGTTGGCGGTCGTAATGCAGCCGTCAATCAGGCGGCGAAGCGAGTCGTCAGGGAGACCACAAAGCCATCTGCCATGTTTCAGCCGCGACCACCCAAGGCTGGAATAGGAGCTAGGAAGAAGGCAAATTTCACGTCTGCTTCGGTAACGCGGAAACATGCTGCTACGAGTACGGATGTTTCAGTAAACGCAGAGTCTTCAGGTGCTGCAGCGCAGACAACTGCTGGAGCAGCCTCGTCGAGCGGTCCCAAAGGCCAAGACGATTTCCGGAAGATGCTCCTAGAGGGAAAGAAGTAGGCCATGTTTGCGATCTTCTGCGGTGTTCCTTGCCGTACAGATTGCCAAGGAACGACACTCGTCGAATCTAGGGATTTTGTTGAATGCTGGAGCTTGTAATCGATCGTTTTAGGAGGTCCAGTCAAATAGCATGCAGTATGATGACCGGGTCACGTCAACAGACAATTTCGGGCACAGTATCTTCATAGTGATAGCAAATTGTCGAGGCGTAGAGCAGGACCTCTCAATCTCCTGCAATGATGTTCGAGAGCGTTTCAGACTTGTTCATGGGAACAACGAACGCCCCAAAACATGTTGGATGAATTGACCCGACTTCCAGCCCGGCAGTCACGTGACCGCTGACGTCATTTGAGGCGGAACAGTAGCCTCATCCCAAGTTCCCAACGAGGCTGTCAAGGGCCACGTGTACAGAGAGCTATATAGGAGTCGGGGAAGACGAGTCAAGCCACAACCTGCAAGTTTATCACCTCCACAAATACAGCAGAACGATGTCACAACGCAAGGTATCCCAGCTCTCTCCCGAAGCGCTGCAAGAGTCCGCAAAGAGGCAGGTAGTCGAGGTCCTTCGCACGGGTGAAGATGCCGTCTCTAGCGGAGCATGGATTTATCCTATCAAGGTGAGTTGATTATCAGGTACAGCATAGGGCGAAAGATGGACGTGCTGAGTAAGGTCTTGTCTGTAGGGTATCATCTATCTGTTATCACGTAAGTCAAGTGCCTTTCGTTGCAAATAAAGCCTTGCAGCTGAACCAGCTCGTCGCTATCATTCCCGTAGACCCATCGCTACTTCAGCCCATGATTCCAACGTTACTCAAAGCAGCACTCACTGCTGTCGGGGTCATTGCTGCGATGTTCTTCTTCACGTACCTACCCCAAGTCGCCGTCTTGGCCCTCGTCACGGGTCCTCTCGGTGAGTGTCTCTCCTCCACATGACGACCCGTCACCCTGAATTGCATACACAACTAACGCCTTGCTTGCCCTCTTCTCTTTCGACCTAACGATAGCCTTTATCGGTGCCATCCCTCTCGTTCTCGGAGAATCCTACCTCGTTCTAACGTTCTTAACACGAACATTCTTGGTTGGCCAAGCCGGTGTTGACTTGTTCGACGCTGTAAGTCACTCTCCGTTCCACTTCCTACCACTTAATGCTTTCCCGCACTCACGAGCTCTAACATATCGTTCCTCTCAGGTCCTTCTCGCACGAAATCATACCGAGCTCGTCCAAAAAGGTCGACTCCTCAATCCTGCTTCCAAAGCGAATGGCGGGAAAGTCACTCAACTTGGCCGAGCGATCACCAAGCCCTTGTCTAGCAAGCTCTCCACCGACGGGATCATCCGATACGTGTTGACCCTACCGTTGAACTTTATTCCCGTCGTCGGGACCGTGTTCTTCCTTGGTACGTTCCGTTCCTCGCCCTTCTCGAGGCTCGCTCAAAGGTTTATTGACATTTTCTACGAATGCGGAATTGACATACTTGTAGGCTATAATGGACTGAAATCCGGACCGTCCTACCACGCACGATATTTCCAGCTCAAAGGCTGGGATGCGCAAAAGAGACGCGAAGTGATTAAGAAACGACGAGGCGCCTACACAGCTTTCGGGACGGTCGCCATGGCATTAAACTTGATCCCTGTCGTCTCGGTATTCTTCACCTGTATGTCGTGCCGCTCCCCTTCCCATCTTCCTCGATTCACGCTTTGGCTTTACTGACCCTACCCACGACGGCGCACGGAACGATAGTGACGAGCAGTGTTGGTGCAGCACTCTGGGCATCAGATATCGAGAACAAGTCATCTACGGGCGGCAAGACCCCTACTCAGGCCCAGGAACAAGATGTTTCCATTTCGCCCATTTCTGGCACCCAAGATCGCGCTGGTAAGAAAGAGCTGTAGATGCCCTCTCTTTCCTCTCCTTGCCTTGTCTCCGTAGAAAGTGGAAGAAGGAAGGGACAATAGGCGCCCCCCAGTCCGCATCGGGGACGATGCATTGAATTGTATGCATAGTAGAAACAGTATAATTGATACACGACGAAGTGGATAAAATGTCACACATGCATGAGCTTGGCAACGCGAGCTTCACAGGGCTGTGATTCATCGACACGAGCAGCGAGTTCTGCACACCTTTTGAAGAGTATGGCGAAAGCGTTGTTCACGCATTCACTGGCCGTCGGACGACAAAGCACCGAAACCAGGCCTACTATATACCTTTGCTCGTCCCCCGCCTCATCTTTCCCCGGTATATTCAAGTAAAGGGCGCACTCAAGTCCTCCCCAGAGAACCCTTGTCTCTTCCTCCATCCGGTGGCAGCAGGCCAGCATTGTCTGATGCCCGCACACGGTTCATGCCATATCAGCATAACGCTATCAGCACTGTTTGTACCAAGCGCAAAATCCAAGCTTGGGCTGATCAAACCGCACAAACGAGTTCGCTCTCGTGAACAAGTCAAGTCGGGCTGACCTCCCTCTCTATGGATGGGTGTATGCTTTGCCTTGATCAGGCAATGGGAAAAAATGTCAAAAAGATATCACATGCCTGTGCCCAGATTCGAACTGGAGTCGGCGGGTTTTGCATTCGCAATGAAGCGTATGAATCCACAGTGATAACCAACTACACTACACGGGCTGGTGATGTCTGTGAATGTGAAGAACATACAATACATGACCATTAGTTTACCCAATCCCTCGCCCTGCGCCCTCCACTTCCCCTTATTCCCTCATTACGTGTTTCACCATATTCCCGCGCAATACTTTGGCTCTTCTTCCGCCACCATTCCGCCCGTTCCCTCTACTGCCACCATGGACGGCCATGATGCGCACAGCATTCCATCGGATCATCCGCCGCCTGCTCCCCTCGTTCCTCCAGTACGTCCCACTCCTTCCGGTCCGACTGCCCTGCCCGTCCCCGCCCTCGTTGACGGCCCGCTCCGCTCGTGTTATCTCGCGCGCTTTGGATATAGGAGTCAGGGAAGCCCGTGGTTGATGCTGACGGACCTCGGGATTCTCTTTCCTCTCCTACGTCTTCCTCTTCCTCTTCCTCCCCTACTCGCTCCGCGTCCCCGTCCGCCTCGTCGTCCTCTGGGTCGGAACATAACAGTCCTTACTTTGATACATCAAAAACGTCAGCCGTTATCACTTCGCTCGACGATGTAGCTGAGCGGATCAAGTCGGGTAAGTCCTCTCCGTTGCCTTCTCCTGTTCCTTCCTCCTAACGCTGACGTGACCTCTCCCCCTATCCCTTTGACGTCAACTGAAACAACGTGCAGCAAAGAACGTGATAGTGCTCGTAGGCGCCGGTGTCAGCGTATCCGCCGGTATCCCCGACTTCCGATCCCCGGAGACAGGGTAAGCCTTCCTGTTCCTATTTCATCCTTGCACTTTCATACTCATTCCCGCCTCCCCTTTTCCCCTCGGCATCACCTTTACGAACCATACGCGAGCACACAGACTCTATGCCAACCTCCAAAGATTCAACTTACCAGCTCCTGAAGCGATTTTTGATCTTCAATTTTTCCAAAGAAAACCTGAACCATTCTTCATGCTCTGCAAGGATCTTTATCCCGGTACGTCTGCATTGGCGTTTCCATTCCCGCTGTCTCTCGTGGTTCAAACTGGAGGCTTAGCCTTCTCTTCCTTGACTAACTCACCCGATATGAATAACAGGCAAACATCTCGTAAGTGATACCGACGGAATGAGCGTTATTGCTCTTGTTTGGACATTGAAAGCTGGTAATCTAACGTTGCCCTTCCCCCGCCTCCCCGCTACAGCCGACTCCCGCCCATTATTTCTTTCGTCTGCTACATCAACACGGAGTCCTTCAGCGCGTATTCACGCAGAACAGTGAGTCTCAGATACCAGTTCCACCTCTCAGTCCCCCGCTCACCCGCCCCCGGACCGCCTCCTTCCTTCTCCCCTTCGATCACTCTCACCCTTCCCTCCCCCACCAGTCGACACTCTGGAAACCATCAGCGGTCTCCCGGCGGAAATGATCGTCGAAGCGCACGGCAGTTTCGCAAAATCACATTGTATCGGATGTCATCGCGATTTCCCGCACTCGGAGATGCTTACGCGAGTACGTCGAGGAGAGGTGGTCAGGTGTGGTGAATGTGGGTCGTTGGTAAAGGTCAGTCAACTAGCTCTCTTCGTTATAGTTCCAGTGGAGAGAGAGAGACTGATAATAAGTTTTGTTGTGATAGCCTGATATCGTGTTCTTCGGAGAAGGACTACCATCCAGATTCTTCCAGCGTGTGAGACAGGTCAGTAAACCCCCCCTCCCCCGCCACCACCTCGGGGTCCCTGCCCTAACCCCCTCTATTGCGCCCGAGCAGGACCTACCAGAATGTGACCTCCTCATCGTCATCGGCACCTCCCTCCAAGTACACCCGTTCGCCTCGCTCATCTCACATGTAGGGCCAGACTGTCCGCGCGTGCTGATCAACAAGGAACGGGTAGGGGAGGCACGTTACGCATGGGATGATGAAGGGTTCCGGTTTCCGTCTTCCGCGGAGGCGGCGGAGCGTGAAGGCACGAGGGATTTCTTTTGGCAAGGCGAAGCGGACTTGGGTGTTCGTGAACTGGCGGAAAAGTTGGGGTGGACGGTACGTTCCCCTCATCACCATCTACTCTCTGCCCTTCCTCTTGCGCGGGCGACATAGCACTATCGACCAATTCGTTGACCACCATTTCTTTCGTTTTCGTTCGCCCTATAGGACGAACTAGAAGAGCTTATTCGCACACATCAGGCCGAGCTCAAGAAGGAATGGAGCATTACACATGACGACAATGATGACACCGCGGATCAATGGATAGCAGCAGGAACGCCTGCTGTTGCCGACAGCAAAGACCTCGCAGAAGACATGTTGGCGGCTTTGGCGGAAGATTTGAAGAAAGTCAGGATCGAGGACACCAAGTCCGAGTTGTGAGGGTCTGGCATGATACATCTACAGTGGTGGGCTATATGCTACTCAACCTAACAATTTTGTACACAATTCATGCTATTCCTTACCCCAATGCCCGTCTCAAAAAAGTAAGCCCTTTCGAACCTGCTAGCATTACCTTCTCTCCACACTATATACAAGTCGTTTCTCTCTCTGTCTGTAACATATTACACGTAACGCCAATTGCAATCATTAACCCCCAACACTTAGTTCTTCATACTCGTTCGCCGTCCTTCAATTGACTCTGTTGTAGCGAGTGCGACTGTATATGCTGACGCAATGAGCGCGCAAACAGGTTCTGTGTAACATGATTCTACATGTAGTGAATGACGGGAGGAGTCGGTAGAAAGGGACGTGACGTGCCAGCGCCCTTAATCCGAAATGCGAGAAGGTGAAAGAGGACTCGACCTTTTCTCAGATCTAGGCCTTTCCGGTGTGCTTTGACATGAGTTTTGGTCCAGTCGATTTGAGGGAGGAATGAATCCATGCAGATCAGTCGCTATGGCTCAAACAGTCGAGGGCGCTTAGTCGATAATATTCCATTGAATCCAGAAGAACGTGCTCGAGAGTTTCGTATGAAACTCGTAAGTGTACCTATGCTGCTGTTCTCCTCTCCACTCTTGATGTCTCCCTCCGCGACGAATTTGCTTCTCATTTCTGAAAAGTGTGCGATTATTTTTGTAAGAGCAGCTTCAACCGATAAAGTGCTGTCCGACTCATCCCTTTCAGACCACGTGCTGCATAATTTGGAGAGGTTCGCAATGGTTTGGCTCATTACTGTGCCACTCAAAGGAATCTCTGCTGCCTCCCCGGCCGGGAGTGACGTCTGTGTTTGCAGCTCAGTAAGCTTGGATAGCTCATCAAGCATACGCAGAGTTTCATTCAGAAGAGATGTGCTTTCTTCTTGACCGGAAGCAAGATTGTCGCAGAGCTGCTGTTTGCTTGTGCGAAGTAAACTCTGAAGCGCTGATACTCTATCCTCACACAGTCCACGTGATCCAGAGACAGCACATTCCGTAGGAGCTGTTTCCGGCCTATCACTCAGATCAGAAGCAGCCCATTTCCGTTTGGAAGACTGATCTGGCTCATTCATCTCGAGGGAATGTTGAATAAACGATGCATCTGTCGGATCTCGCGTTATTGTCGTCGATGCATCGTTTCTTCTATCAACCAAGGGCACTGGGCGGCGCTCTTCCCCAAGAACCAGCCTCCAACTCTGTTCCACATCCATGATCGCTTTGGTCAGTGCCAATGATACTCCGTGCAGCTCACTCGAGGATCCACCGTTCAGGTGAGATGAAGCAACTACCAATCGGTCCAACAAAGTACACGTTTCAGAGGGACCTTGCTGACAAAAGCCATGAGCGAGGCTGTAAAGCTGGTATATGTCAGCTTCTATACGCTCGTCATATTGCACTGAAAGTCTTTTGTCCGGATCAAGCTGCTGGAACCACTCGATATACAGAAGAACACGCTTAACAGTTTCGATGCAGAGTTGACTCAATTCGCTACCCAGTTTCCACAGCACGCGATCTGATGCGCTCGTCGAGTTGTAACTGGCACAGTTGTCGCAGAACTTCCAAAGAAGCTGAAGTTTCCCCTTGAGAGTTTGCAGGCTATCGCCAAGAGTATCTGGTGCCACACCTGTTATCGGCCTATCTTCATCCTCGAATATAGATACGCGATCATCTTCATCCTCGAGCTCGAGTAGAGATTCGTGATCGTCTTCATGATATGCGTTGTTGCCTGTGAGGAATCTGGCCGTACGTTTTGTCCTTTTAAGGTGACTACAGAAAGTCGCATAATCAGCCCGTCTTATAACCAAAGATGGCCCATTACTGTCCGGCTCTTCGCAAAATCGTTTCAGTGTCTCCTGAAGTTCATTTCCAAGCCGCACGCCTGTTTTCACCACTTGATCCAATTCTTCAAGCCCGAGAAGCTCACTTTCCATCGCACGGATGGAATTTCTCTCGAAACTACTGCAAATACCCTCCAGGTCTTCCGGAAGCTCCGGTTTTACTTTCCGAACTTCCCACAGTGCATTGGACGTCTCCTCCAATGCATGCAAGAACAGGTGCTCGGAGTCGTCCATCATGCTGCGCCGAGGCTGATTTACGGCGAATGTCAATGGTACTGAGAGTTTGTATTGTAATCGTTGCCAATCCTTCTTCACCCTGGCAGCATGCATGGCAATAGGACTGCTTAGTTCTGTATAGGTTAAGCTCAGCAAGTCATCCAGGATGTTTGGGAACGATGCTCCATTGCGATTCGTGCTCCGCTCGAACACTTTGTTGCCTTCCGTAAGCAGCTCTGTGCGAGTAGCGATCAACTCGATATAGATCCGACACTGTTTTTCAACGGCTTCCTGTTTTTGATTGTCTTCCATAGCCTTTAGCGCCCGACAGAGATGCTCATCGAAAGCCTCCAATCTTCTAAGACACTTGGAGTATATTTGCTCGCGATCTCTATATTGATAATCTTTACCGACTGGCCTCTTTGGGGGCTGCTCCCTGACACCCTCGTTCTCAATTGTCGGAGAATCCAATCAAATCACTGATAGACTTATGGAGATCCCGCGAGGCAGCCAAGGTTGCATCGGAAGCGGACATTACGCTTACAATATCGAATGATTCGTCAAATTGATCTACCGACGTCCTGATGAGCTCAAGTCGAAACCAGAAGTTGAGG